GAATGTGCAGAAGGCATGGTCTCTGAAAACTGCCAGTTGGTAGAGCTTGAACTCACACTCCATGGGTCTGGCTCAGGTTCAGGGAACCCCGAGCGTCACCCTGAGTCACCCAGTTACTGTGACAAGATTGCCTGCAACCCTTTAAACTTGCTGCACATGTACATTTCACCCTCTTGGGTATATCATTCTGCATTTACAAACTCTACCCTTCAGTAGGACTACCCAGAGCGGCAGTGCATGCCACGCATTAGGTGGGATAAATCCTGAGTGTCTGGGATGTGGTTTAGGAGGATTAGAGCAATAGTTTGAGCCCCAGATGTGTGGGAAATAAGGTGGGACCAAGTGATGTTATAAAATATCAGATTTTTAGGATGTCCGTAATCTCTGGAACTTTTTGCTCAAATGACCCCAACTTTGGACTGCTAACCCCCTCTCTCACCTCCACAAGACACAGTTAATATTAAAGCAGTCTGAGTCATCATGTGGATTTAGTGGTTGTGAGCAGCTCTCAGCTGTAAGCACAGCAGAGCTGTTGCTTTGCTATAATACACTTGAATACAACAATTTACAAAGCATAAGAACTGGTAGCATCAGGAGAGAACTTATCTTCTCATCACAATAATTGGAGAAAACAGCTTTCTATAGAGCAGGCTGTGGATGTTATCATTAACATGCATCTATGTGGTGCCGAAGTGGAAAATATTTTTGTGCTGAGCTAACAGGCATATCCTGATGCAGCTTAGTCACAAAAGCAGATCCTTGCATGCACTTGTCTGAGTTTCTTTTGCTAAGGAAATTTAGGTCTTAAGAAAGCTTTTGTTTTGCTGTGTGTAAAGAATGCTTCTCTTTGTTCTTTTTAACAAAATGGAGGCGCCCTTCTGTCTGTTTTCTTTGGATAACCTTGTTACTGAAGATAATGGGTCAGAAACACTGGTAAAGTCCATTCTTTCATTTCTGTTGTTAGCTGTAGTGCTTCCTTTCCCAAATTGCTCTCAGCTCTGTCTCCTCGCTTCACCGGGCTTCATATTTTCTACAGTCAAACAATCAATAAAGAGCTAAGTTATTTATTGAAAGAGAAAGAAGCTTCTATGCTACAGACTTTATTCCTAAGGGACATGAAGAGAGGGTTTCATAGCCTGCCATTCATTGGCTTGCCATAGCATGGGAGTGGGGAGCCCCACACACTGTAGGGCAGTCCATGCTTTGCATTCTGAATATATCTGATGCCAGTTATGCCTGTGTGAATTTGGAAACTGGCCCCCAAAAATTGCTCTAGATTTTGAATTGTTCTAATTCATCTCAGTGGCTGTCAGCTCTGAAGTTTAATGATGACTGTTTAAATGTCAGTATAGTGTACAATTTCACTGCAGAATGTTTTAGCAGGAGTATCATACTAGTGTGCTTTTCTATCACTTTTAGGTGTTGTAGAGCAGCATTTCCCAATCGCTGGTCCATGGATTGGTGTTGGGCTGCAAACCACTGGCCAGGGCCATAATAAGGGCGAGGCAAGTGAGGCACTTGCTTCAGGCACACAGCTGAGGGGACGCAGTCCTGCAGCTGAACGCCACATCTGGGGTTTCAGGAAATGCACGGGGCTGCACTTCCCCTCCCCAAACAGCCGGTGTGCTGCACGAAAAGCCAGGTCTGTGGCATGCCAGCAACTTCCTTCCCCTGCTGCCTTCCTGCATGGGGAGGGGGAGCAGTATGAGTCCTGGGACCACGCCAGCTCCAATTGCTTAGGAAGTGCACAGTTATTGCGGGGCAAGGAGTATGGTGCATGCTTCCTAAGGAGCTGGTGGTTCCAGGACTCCCACTCCCCCATCCGTCCCTTGCAGAATGCTTTGCATTCTGAATATATCTGATGCCAGTTATGCCTGTGTGAATTTGGAAACTGGCCCCCAAAAATTGCTCTAGATTTTGAATTGTTCTAATTCATCTCAGTGGCTGTCAGCTCTGAAGTTTAATGATGACTGTTTAAATGTCAGTATAGTGTACAATTTCACTGCAGAATGTTTTAGCAGGAGTATCATACTAGTGTGCTTTTCTATCACTTTTAGGTGTTGTAGAGCAGCATTTCCCAATCGCTGGTCCATGGATTGGTGTTGGGCTGCAAACCACTGGCCAGGGCCATAATAAGGGCGAGGCAAGTGAGGCACTTGCTTCAGGCACACAGCTGAGGGGACGCAGTCCTGCAGCTGAACGCCACATCTGGGGTTTCAGGAAATGCACGGGGCTGCACTTCCCCTCCCCAAACAGCCGGCGTGCTGCACGAAAAGCCAGGTCTGTGGCATGCCAGCAACTTCCTTCCCCTGCTGCCTTCCTGCATGGGGAGGGGGAGCAGTATGAGTCCTGGGACCACGCCAGCTCCAATTGCTTAGGAAGTGCACAGTTATTGCGGGGCAAGGAGTATGGTGCATGCTTCCTAAGGAGCTGGTGGTTCCAGGACTCCCACTCCCCCATCCGTCCCTTGCAGAATGCTTTGCATTCTGAATATATCTGATGCCAGTTATGCCTGTGTGAATTTGGAAACTGGCCCCAAAAAATTGCTCTAGATTTTGAATTGTTCTAATTCATCTCAGTGGCTGTCAGCTCTGAAGTTTAATGATGACTGTTTAAATGTCAGTACAGACCCAGCTGTTCAGGAAACATGCTGGCTGTTTGGGGGAAGGGGAAGCAGCGCACATGCTTACTGAGACCCCAGTCCTGATGCACAGCTACAGGATTCCCAAGTACTGGCCCCAGCTGTCCCTGTCCTCTTCCCCTGGCCAGGCTCCCCCCACAAGTATCCTGCCCCAACCCCCACCAGCACCCTGTCTCCTGTCCCAGCACTTTGTCTCCTGCCCCCACAAGCATTCTGCCTCAGCACCCTGCCACCTGCCCCAGCACCCATCAGTACCCTGTTCCCTACCCCAGCACCCTGTCCCCACCAGCACAGTTGGGGCCACATTAGTGAGGCTTGAGGTTGTGATTTCTTTTTTTTTTTTTCATCTTTTTTTGCATCTTACTTGTGTGGCCCCAACCGCATGTTCTGTGGGTCAGTGATCCCTGACTCAAAACAGGCTCTCCGCCTCTCTGATAAATAAAGACAATGCTGAAACCGCATGTTCTGTGGGTCAGTGATCCCTGACTCAAAACAGGCTCTCCGCCTCTCTGATAAATAAAGACAATGCTGAAACCTTTTGTGTTTGACATAATATTTTATTTAAAAATGATGCCTGGCCAACAAGCTTCCAATTGGGTCCCCATCTGGCCACAGCATCATAACACTCCTGCACCACCTGACCCCAAATCTGAGCCTATCATACACTGGAACCCCCTGTCCTGAGCCTCTCACATCCCCAAACTCCTGCATCCCCCCATCCTCAGTGCCTCTCACATCCACAACACTCCTGCACCATCCACACACCACAAATCTGTCTCCTGAGCCCCTCACACACCCAACCCAAACTCCTGCACCCCCACGTCCACAAGCCTGTGGCTTACTCAGCACCCCAACCCTCCACCTGAGCCCAACACTCCCCAGCCTGGAGCCCCCTCCCTGAGCCAGCGTTCCCTTCTCCACATCCTCCTGCATCCAATTTCCCTCCCATTTTGCACCTCTCGCCCCTTCCCACACCCAAATCCCTCATTCCCACCCCAGAGCCCGCACCTCCTGTCTCAACCCAGGGAGAGTGTATAAGGGCAGGGGATAGCAAGTGATGGAGAGGAGGGGAACAGAGAGGGTGGGGCCTCAAGGAAGGGGTGGGGGTAGATCTTGGCTTATCCTGACATTTAAAAAGTGATCTTGGGTGTAAAAAGATTGGAGACCATTGTACTAAGCTATCTTCGCTCGTGCCTCACATCATATCAGCATCCCTGCCCGCATCGAGGACGGTCAACTTTGACTGCTCCTTAGGGGTGCCATTGTCTGATTTCTAAAAAGATGTTTCCTTTATGAGGTCCATGATAAAGTCAGTTTGGTGATCCTTTAAACGTATGTTTCCAATTTTCAAGATAACTGTTTTAAGCGCGAGTGTGAGCCATTTAAAGGCTGTTGCATTTAAGTTTAAGAACTGAAGCGGGATTTTTTTCCGGGCAATTCTTTTGTTAAAATGGATACTGCCAATCTTCAAAAAGCAGCCGTAGATTTAAGTTTTAAATATGACAGCGATTTGAATGCCTCGTAAATTTCATAAGAGATTCAGAGTTTTGAACATCAGGCGTTAGCGCTGTTGCCAAACGTTTCATCTGCGATTAGTTTGGACCTTCTGCAGTTAATTCATGAATATACTGTAATCTGGCCAAATCTTATCCACATTTGGAAATCACCCTGCGAATATTTCTCTGCTTGCCAGTGACTGTGGCTTCTTGTGAAAAGTTTTAGTAAACTAAAATTAATTATTGTTATTTATGTATTTTCCCTTTTTCTACAAAGTAACTACTATGAATATATACACGAGGGGGCGCAATTTTATAGTCTGGCCTCAGGTGCAAAATTAGCTAATTATGGCACTGCCACTGGCTGCCGAGCCACAGCAGCTGCCAGAGCTGAAGCCAGCTGTTTGCTGTGGCTCTGGGAGCTAAGACTGAGGTACACCCTGGTCTCCTGAGACACTGCACAGCAGCCAGCTTCAGCTCCAGCAGCTGTTGGCCATGTGCCCGGGTTATACCCTACCAGTGGCTCTGGGGGCTGGTGCTTTTGGTGGACCGGTCCCATTTCATTTGCCCGTTTGCATATTCATTATTTATATAATGAATATGTAAATATGCAAATAAAATGTTATCGGCCCACCAACAGTTTGTGTATGGGTTTGCTGGTCCATAGTTAGAAGTTACCAGCTTTACAGCTCTCCATACATAAAGACCTGGTTAGCAGTGTTGCTGTGGGGAGCAGGTTTTACTATACATTGCTTATTCTTGATGATCATTGTCTTTTTGAATATTGCATTTGGAAAGGAAGCTCAGATGGTAGTTGTCAAGATTTTTGTATATCCTCCCTTTGTCTCTCTTTTGTTTATAAGGGTTCTCGAAGCCAGAGCACAGAACGAATTCTTTCGGGCCTTCTTCAGACTGCCAGGGAAGGAGAAGCTACATGAAGTTGCAGACTGTTCTCTGTGGACTCCGTTTAGCCGCTGTCACACAGCAGGAAGGATGTATGCTTCAGACAGCTATGTCTGTTTTGCCAGCAAAGAAGGTGGATGCTGCAATGTTCTCATCCCCCTGAGAGAGGTAGAGGTGGCCGTTTGATTTTAATTTTACTCTATCTGGTTTTTGCTGATCCAAAGCTCTGCTGTGAATTAACTTAGCTGAAAAACAGTCGTTTTCAGTGTTTTTTGGGGGCAGGGGGAGGTGTTGGAGACTGTGAAAGAGGGCTGCAAATTTTTTGTTCTGGTCTTCGTTAACAGATGAATTCATATAAAGCAGTTGGGTGAGGCAACAACACTCTCAAAGTAGTGTTGTTGACTGATACAATGTGGTGCAACAAACAGGTACCTTGCAAAACAAGATACAGTAAAACCTGTGTTATCTGGCACACTCAGGGATTAGGGTGTTCCGGTTATCTAAAAATTCCGGTTATCTGAGGGTCCCATCAACCTAGGAAAAAGCAATGGACAATAATAGTAAAACTCAAGTTTTTAATATTGGTAGTTTTTGTAGTGTGAGGCAGTTGGTCTTACATTCTATTTTGAGTTAAAGATGATTAGTGCTTCTTAAATAAAAAATGGTTAAACCAATCATGGTAAACTAAGCCAGGCCTGTGCATCTGAAGATGTGACAGTATTGTGGCTGGGGCCAATGCCGGTTAACAGAGTGCCAGATAACAGAGGTTTCACTGTACTTATCTAGCCAAAGAATAATTGCTATCGAGAGTAACTGCCACCCAAGTTCTCCCAATTCCCCCATAGAAGTCCAGAGGGGTGAGAATTGGGAAAATCGCAAGGTGGAAGTATGGAAAGAGGGAGTGCGCTGGTGTTCCAGCCACAGTGTCCCCTGACTGGCTGGAGCACCAGTTCACACCACTGCAGTTGGAGGGGGAGGCACAGGCTGGATGCGGCCTAAGGGCCATAGGTTTCCCCCCCATGCTCTAAAGCAAAGGTGGGCAATAACTTTTGCAGGGGGGCCACTTCACATCATGTGCTGGCTCCACTCCTGGAAAGGGCACGGCCTTGGGTGGAAGGGGCAGCTCCCTCTAGGCACCTTGTCCCCTGGCAGGGGAAGGAGACTTTGCACGCTCCCCTACCCCCCCAGGCCAGTCAGGATTTGGGGGTGGGGGATGGTGCAAAGACTCTCGCTCCCTACCCCCATCCTGCCAGGCAGGGGCAGCGAGAGGAAATTGCCAGCCGTTTTCAAGCCCTGCTGAGGGGGAGGAGACTTGGTGCACTCCACTGCCCCCACGTCAGTTGAGACCTGGGGGTGGGGGAGTATGAGAAGTCATTCACTGTTCAAAATGGTTGGTGGTTCCGTCTAGGCGCCGTGTGCCCTGGAGGGAGGCAGAAGGTGCCAGCTGCTTAGAACAGTGAATGACTTTGTGTGCTCCCCAGCCCCCGGGTCTTGATTGGCCTGGGGGTGAGGGCGCAGAAGGGCAGGCTGCATCTGGCCCTTGGGCCATATCTTGTCTACCCCTGCTCTAAACCTACGGAGTCAGGTCCTAGGTATCCTCAGAACAGGATGGAGGTGGGTTCTGACTGACGAGCATGTGTTTAGAAGACAGCCCAAAACTGCTACCCAGGCCACAGCAAGGTTGGAACTGGCAACTGCTGGTTTATGAAACCAAGGCACTAATTCCTGTGCTACAGATACAGTGGCAGCTCTTGTTCCTGTTTTGCAGGGATCTGGATGAGTGCATGAGTATAAACACATTCGGATGACTACTGAACAGCAACAGATTGTCCTGGGAAGCTGAGCAGGGGGCTCTGGAGACAGTGCTGAGATGCAGGTCTCCAACACAAACATGATAGGCCCGTTTTTTTAAAAAGGCTTGTATATTTTTATCAAATGGAGATTTCCATAGCAAAAACTGGCAACTCTGGTGTAGAATCAGTAGAATTTGGTTTCTGCTTTCAGTAGAATTGACTGGCATTTTCTTCTCTGAATGGTGATTAATACATTCTCTGTAATGTTTTTGGAATAGGTGGTTAGTGTAGAGAAGATGGAGGACACTAGTCTCCTGCCGAATCCCATCATTATTAGTATAAGGAGTAAGATGGCCTTTCAGTTCATTGAGTTGAAGAACAGGGATAGCTTGGTGGAGAACCTGCTTCTGAGACTAAAACAAGTCAACGCCAGCAACCCAGTGCACTATAACTGCGTGGATAAAAAGGAAACGGTACTAAACTTTTTATTGGTTTCAAATTGCATGATGATGCTGAGAGTTAACCATTTGTTTTTTGTCCCTGCATCTCCTAAAATCATAACTGGAGCAGAAAAGTGATTAGAAGCCTATAGTTAAGGACAGGATTAGAATTCAGAATGACTAGAGAAATGGTCTGAAATAAATAGGATAACATTCATTAAGAAGAAATGCAAATGCTGCACTTAGGAAAGAATAATCAGTTGCATAAATACAAAATGGAAAATGACTGCCTAAGGAGGAGTACTGCTGAAAAAGATTAAGGGGTTATAGTAGATCACCAACTAAATGTGAGTCCACAAAATAACACCGCTGCAAAACAGCTAACAGTCTGGGATGTGTAAGCAAGAGTGTTGTAAGCAAGACACAAGAAGTGCTTCCATTTTATACAGTACTGATAACATCTCAATGGGACTATTGTGTCCACCTCTGTGCACCACACTTCAGATGAAGTGTGGACGAATTGGAAAAAGTCAGAGGAGAGCACCAAAAATGATTAAAGTTCTAGAAAACACAACCCTATGAGGAAAGACTGAAAAAACTGGGTTTGTTCAAATCAGAGGTGGGGAACCGAAGGTCCGGGGGCCCCATTGGCTCAGAGCTCCCCCAGAATTGGGGAGCCTATGCAGACACTCCAGCCCCCCTGCTACTCCACTGCAGGGCTGGACACACAAAAATCTACTAGGCTGGACCCCTCTAGACTCTGGTGGGTGAGGAGAATGTGGGGAGTGTCTTTCTCCTCAATTCGGGGTCAAATCAGTGAGGGTTTTTTTCTTTTTTATTTCTGCTCACTTACATGTGGCCCTCGATTTTTTTTCTGTGGGTCAATGGCCCCTGGCCCAAAAAAGGTTCTGGTTTAAATGAAGACTGAGGAAGGACATAATAGTAGTCCTCTATTATATAAAAGATTGTTTTGAACAGGAGGGTGATACATTGTTTTCCTTAACTAATGAGGACCGAACAAGAAGTAACAGGCTTAAAAATATACACAAAAAAGTGCCACATCATGGCAGCTTTTGCAAGCAGTGAGGAGCCATGATGGGGAAGGGCCATGGTGCTCAGGTGCACCATGGACTTAGAGCTGTCTGAGATAAATGGCGCCGAGCCAGAGCCTTTATCCCTGCCCTTGTCCTAGCCCTGAACCCTCTCCCGTACCATAGCTCCCTTCCAGACCCCGCACCTCCATCCCAAACCCCTTGTCTTAGGTTGGAACTCCCTCTGAGAGCCTGCAGCCCTCCCCAAACTCTATGTACAAGCCATGAGTTCCCTTGTGTGCTCCAAACCCCTTCCAGAGCCTGCACCCCTACCTGCATCCAACTCCCCTCCGGAGCCTACACCCCCCCACTTGCACCTCAGCCTCTTGTCCTGAGCCTGTTCCTGCGTTCCAAACCCATTGGTGCCAATCCAGAGCTCCATCCTGCACCCTGAACCTCTCATATCTGGCCCCACCCTGGCTCCTAGGGGAACCTCAAGCCTCAGTGCTCTGCTGTGGGGCTGTGTGAGACCCACAAATAATTTTTTTTTCTGTTGGTCAGTGGAACCCATCAGAAAAAAGGTTCCCCACCTCTGGTCTAGATAATACTTAGTGCTGCATCACTGCAGGAGATTGGGCTAAATGACCTATCAAAATGGCTTTGTTTCTATGATTCTGTGACTTACAATTTACCAGTAACATCTTATTGATTAATGTAATGAATTTTTCCTGTGGCGTTTATAAACTATAGGCTAAGGAACTGTGTGTTTGACATAGGGTCTTTTGAATGAACCAATAGTACATTATTTTCTGCTATTTTGTATAAAACAGCAGGGTATTTTATTCTTTGTGCAGGACCAAAAATGCTCAATATTATTCTGGGAGAAAGTGACAGAGAACAGGTACTTGCTGACATGAGCACATCACTAGATTGTTGGAGTATCTTATAAAAACCTGTCAGTGTCCCTATTAAATCCAGATTATGGAGTAGCACAGTACTTGTCTATTAAAAAAAGGAATATAAAAGCACTTCCTGTGCCTTTCTAAAAATATAAGGAGGGTAGCAATAGAGTCCTGGTCTAGAGGTGCGTGTTGAGCACTTACAACTGTCATTGTAGTGAAGGCAAGTGCTCAGCAAAACTACTACTGTACTTAGGCCGTTATTAATTAGGTACCTAACTGGGATTTTGGTTCTTTTATTTGAGCTCAAATTTTTCAAATTTGAATGAAAGTTACAACTGTCATGGTTACCTGCTTCACTAATTTGTGTTGGCTCTTGCTGTGACGAAAAATATACCTACCGTACCATTTGTTAAACTCTTTCCAAACATTATTTTTTCCATTCTATGTTGCAAGAACTCTCTCATGTTTGTTTCAACATGTGTGTTGAGTGACTGTGAGTCCCAGGATTTGGGAACAGTGGCTTCCCAAAGTGAAGACAAGAATGAAGGTGAAAAGGAGAACAGTCACTTGTTAAATGCAGAGGTACTAAGATCAGTTTTTCACCAGTCAGGAGCTGAAAGTCTTGACTTCAGGATGGTATGTATGGCTAAGGTGCAGTTGCACAGTAGTTTTTTAAAATAAGTCCTAAAAATAACTATAGTAACTCATTTGGTCAGACACTCTCTTTCCATAAAGTGAACTGTATATTAGCAGGAAAGTGTGTGTGTGTGTGTGTTTTGATTTAAATTATAGTGAGCTTTGTTTGTTCATTCTCCTGGCCTGCCTAACTCTTCTCTCATCCTACCCTCAAAATATTTATTTACCACCCCTCTCACAGTGAGTAAAATCTGGTGTCTCCTTCCAGCCCTCTTTTTCACATGTCACGATCAGTGTTACTTTTGTTATTGTCTAAAAAGGGTATTTTGAGAGGGAGATGTTGGATCCTGCCTGCATAGTTGCAGCATTTATGTGTTACCAGGCTTTGCTCTTACCACAAGTTTGTCTTACAGAGTTGTAAAGAAACATTCTTAGTGGATTGAGCAACAAAGGGCTCATAGTTTTCATGGTAGCAGAGTTGCACTCGCGTTATAAAGCAAAACAAAACTGGCTTTATGGAGCCCGCCATTGTCCCTCTTCCTTTAGACTCTCAGTTGGTTTGGGGAGCCTGTAAATGTCAGTGCTACTGTCATTTAAAACAGGCTCTTTGCCCTTTCACTTGTGATCTTTAGGATAATCAGATATTCGCTGTTCCCACAACAGCTACAAGAATTCATCTTTTGGGTCTGTGAAAACCATGGCTGGAGGCTTTTTGGGCAGCCTTCTGAGCTTATGACTCAGAAAAGAGTGCTCTGCTGCCTGATCTCCCAGTGATGAATGTCAAGTTGCTGCAAACTCCCTGTGCCTTTGGCAGTGAGAAAGTGTGCCCTGAAGTAGTGGCCAGAGCACAGGGTGGAGCTCTAGCACCTTCTCTCCCCAGCTGTAGGGTGGAGTTGCTTCAGCCTAAGGTTGTATGTGGGAGGTGGGGTGTGTGTGTCTGTGTGTAAAAAGGACTAGCCCAGTGGTCTCTAACCTTTTTAAGCACGAGATCAATTTTTGAATGTAAGTGCAATCCAAGATCTACCTAAATAAATTCTCTTGCCCTGCCTCCTTCCCATCCCTACTCCGAGGCCTCACCCCTGCTCACTCCATCCTCCCTCTCTTGCCCATCCTCACTTACTTTCACCAGGCTGGGGCAGAGAGTTGGGGTGCAGGCTCTGGTCTTGGATTAAGGGATCTGGAGTGTGAGAGGGGCTCTGAGCTGAGCCTGGGGCAGGCAGTTGGGATGTAGGAGGGGTTCTAGGTGCAGGCTCTGGGACGGTGTTTGGATGCGTGGGTGCTCAGGGCTTGAGGTGCAGGAGGGGGTTCATGACTGGGGTAGGAGTTTGAGATGTGGGCTCCAGCTGGGCACTGCTTACCTCAGGTGGCTCCTGGGTGGTGGTGCAGTGGGACTAAGGCAGGCTCATCCCTGCCTGGCCCTGGCCCACTCCATAAAGCAGCCAGAAAACTCCCTCCCAAGTCCTGTTGTGCCCCTTCTCTGTTCTGTGAAGAAAGGATACAGAGTGAGAGGGGGCACCCTGACTTTAACCCCCTCCTCTCCTTCCCCTGCCCTGCATAGCAAGCAGGAGGCTCCCAGGGGGAAGGACAGCTCCAAGGCAAAAGGCAGGAGGTGCACAGCAGTGCAGGGAGGAGCAGTAGAAGTGCTGGCACTTAATAGACTCTTGGCCAAACCAGTCAGGATCACCTGTCAGAGGCTCCAAGACCTACCAGTAGATCCCGATCTACTAGTTGGTGACCACTGGCCTAGTGCATTCCTATGGCACACTAACTCACAGACCGTTGCTATGGAGCTGGGCTGTGGTGCACAGTAGGGCTCGCTTTGTCTTGCCTAGTGTTGCTCTTCCCTTGTGCTGTGGGGACTGCATAGGTTCCTCCCTCAGGGAAAAGCTGGGCAGGATTTGCCTGTTAAAGCACTTCTCCCTTGTGTGTGACCACATTTTCTGGTCCGAAAGAAATCCTTATGAGAGGGGAAGATCGGGGGTATCCAAACTTCCAGTTTGGTTTGTATGCGAGACTTTTAAAAGCAACACTGCTTGTTTTAAAACTTACCCTCTGATTTGCAGTCCAGGGAACAAATAAAAGAGAGGCTGTGGAATGACCATTTTGCAGAATATGGCAGAACTGTCTGTATGTTTCGCACTGAGAAGATTAGAAAGCTGGTTGCAATGGGAATTCCAGAATCTTTAAGAGGCAAACTCTGGATCCTCTTTTCAGGTGAGAACTCTGTAGGACATCACACATACAGCCAGCATCCAGGGCTGAACACAGTTCTGGATGCAGTTATGCAAGAAAGCTCTGTAATCCCATCACATTCTCTGGCAGAAAGGAAGGAAGAAGAGGTGCTCAGATACTGTGGGGATAATATCTATATTCATACACAGGTAGAACAATAAGAGTGTCTTATTTTGTCTCATAACTGTTCATTGATGTGCACAAATAGTTGGTTTTTTTTACATAAAATGCCACCATGTGGTTATGAAATAACATTCTTAAGGCAACAATTAGAGTGTGACGTAAATATTGATTTAATCTTAGCTAAACCTAAATATTTTGAAATGAAAGTATGTTTAGGTCTGCAGCCCTGCTCTTTCCCATAAAGCATGGGCAGGCGTCTTAGAGACTGTATCTGGAAGATTTACTAGTTAATTTCATTAATTGTCCTGTCAGAGCAGGGTTGGAGATAACATGGAAGGGAATGACTTGTCAAGTCCAATTAAAGGCACATTTGCAAGGATTGAATTTTTATGTTTGGAATTACTTCTTTCTGCACATTATATTCACTATTGAACAAACTTTATCCCAACAGTGCTTTTTAGGAGAGGATGTTTCATAGTACAGACAAAGCCAATATCAAGCTGATTTTAAATCCACTGTCTGATTTAGGCTTTAATAATAGAAATTTCATTTTCTATGCAAACATTTCTCCTTGGAAAATCACAGCTAGTATTTTCTGTCCTTTTTAGGTTTAGGGATTCACTCAAATGCAAGTAATGTCTAATTTCCTAGGCCTGGGGGAAAACAGCCGCTTCATGTTTGCTCTTCTGTCAAATAATGATTTAATAACATTATACCCGAAGTCCTCTTAGCCCCCTTTTATGTTTTCCTCTTATTTCTGCTTTCAGATGCCATGTCTGATCTTGCCTCCCATCCTGGTTACTACAGAAATTTAGTGGAGGTGTCAATGGGCAAGTGTTGCATGGCGACTGAGGAGATAGAAAGAGACCTGCATCGTTCGTTGCCTGAGCACCCGACCTTCCAGAATGAAACTGGGATAGCAGCCCTGAGGAGAGTTCTGACAGCATATGCACATAGGAACCCCAAAATAGGATACTGCCAGGTGAAGAACTATTAGCATGTGGAAAAGTATGTCAGTGTTTTCTCTCAATAGAGGAATTCTCAGCTGGCTTACTTTTGTTATCCCCTCAAGGTGTTTTTGCAATAGCTTAATTATAAATAATGTGCTTTGCTCTGTTGCATATGTAATGAAAGATTAATTTAAATGTTGTGTAATTTTACTCTGAGAAGTATATAAAGATGGCCCTTTCTGACTCTGACTTGTTCCCTGGATATGTTCAGAATTTTCCGCGAGAGTCAAAAATAAAGTTCCCACTATTCTTGTTGGTGCTGAGTGCAAGTTATCTCATGCATTGCTCAGTGGGTGAGCCAAATAAACTGGCCTCTGAAGATGAGCTTTCACATAGGAGAGGGATTTGGTGAGCTGATGTCCTCCTCTTTCCAGGCTGATGGCAGATCCATAGACCCAGTACACTATAATTACAACCTGTTGGCTTATTAGTGTCTCCAATCTCCTGAGTACTGACCCAGGGGAGTAGCATAATACTAGACACCCAACAAGCTCCCTTGTCTTCCATCCAAACACAAAGGCAAAAAACCCATGACACAATTGGATATCCATTTAGACAAATTATAATACTGTTTTTTGCATAGTTGTTTCATGTTACCTCATATGAAGAGTGGCATATATGAACTTGCAAATCGCCCTAGAACTTAGTCTTAGCTGGATTTCACTAGTGTAATCAGTCTCCCCGTTGATATTTCCATAGTAAGGAGAGCAGTGTTTTATGGTAAGCTGTCGGACTGTGGGAGCCCTGGGGGTGAAAGGCATGTCTCCTGCCAAGTAACTGGTGTCTTATCTGACAAGTTTTATTATTGTTTCTTAAAACAGCTCTGCTGTAGGAATTTTTGGAGGAAAGGATGGGTTTGCATCCGATATTCTCTCTAATTTTTTTTCCTTCCATAAGTGGAATAAATTTTTTTATGTGCATCAAGACATGAGTGGATGTGCACCAGCAATAGAAATACATGATGCCGGCTGTAGGTGCTCTACTAATCATCTAGGTGGCATTTGAAACTCTCCTGGGTGGCCACCCAAACACACCGCTTATAGAGAACACCAACTAATGAATCCCATTTTCTTCTTTTGATCTCATAACAGTCTATGAATATTTTGACCTCTGTGTTGTTGTTGTATGCGGAAGAGGAGGAAGCTTTTTGGCTGCTTGTTGCGGTGTGTGAGAGGATGCTGCCAGATTACTTTAATCACCGAGTGATAGGTAAGCATGACTCTCGCTCACTCTTTCATTGAGACATTACGCTGGGAATGAGGGAGTGAAATGCTGCATGGCACCAGGATGATAAAAAACTTGCAATTCTGATCTTATTTATAGCTGTGTAGAATATAATTTGTGAATTGGTATATGATGGCACCATTCAGATTTGTGTAATTGCAGTCAGCCCATTACAGATTTCACTGAGTCGATCTGAAATATTTGAAGACTGGAGTCTGAAATGAATCAAACTATACCATAGAATTTCTATAGATACATGTTCCATGCTTGAATTAAATGAGTACAACAGTGGGAATATATTACTGACAGCCCAACTGACAGGATGATTGAGAGATGCTCCAGGAGAGTTAGAGAGGCTACCAAAACAGAAAAACCAATAATAATGGGGGATTGCAACTGTCTGCATATTGACTGGGTACATGTCACCTTGGGACAGAATTCAGAGATACAATTTCTAGGTACCATTAATGACTGCTCCTTAAAGCAGCTAGTCTTGGTACCCACCAGAAGAGAGGCAATTCTTGAGTTAGTCCTAAGTGGTGCACAATATCTGGTCCGTGAGGTAAATTTAGCTGAAATACTTAGTAATAGTGACTATAACATATTTTACTAAAAGACTTACCTGGTGTTGCCTGGGTCCTTCAGGCCAGGGGGATGGGGTTATGGGAGGTGCAGGAGTCAGGGCAGGGCCTTGGAGATGTGGGGGGCTCAGGGCAGGAGGCCGGGGCATGGAAGGGTGCGAGTGGGAGGATGGGGGAGGGGGAGAGGAAGGAGGGAAGAAAGCTAATGTTGCCATATTTTTTTTAAAATGGCAGACAGGAGGGCCTGGGTACTTACAGGCCGGTTTCAGCCTGACATTGATCCTAGGCAAGATGAAGGAGTGGCTGATACTGGACTTGGTTAATAAAGAACTAAAGGAGAGTAATGTAATGAATGTAATTCAATATGGGGTTATGGAAAATAGATCCTGTCAAACTAACTTGAATTTTTTGATAAGAGTAAAAGTTTGGTTGATAAAGGTAATAATGTTGGCCTAATATACGTATACAGGCAGTCCCCGACTTACGCGGATCCGACTTATGTCGGATCTTCACTTACGAACGGGGCTTTCTCGCCCCGGAGGTCGAGGTGGCGGATTGCTACCTGCGAGCTCCGGGGCGAGATTGTGTGCATGCCATTTGAAGCCACCTCTGATCAAGGACTGGTGAATATAGTGTAAATAAAATAAATTACGCCAAGGGCTTGTCAGCCCGGGAGGTTTAATCCACAGTAACTTGAGTTTGGTGTGAAAACGCCTTGGGGGACATAATGTGATTAGAGTACAGGAACTCCACATTTGCTATCAACTCTGGAGTCCTCTTGTAAAGTGTATTATGATTGAGCTAGTGCAGAGTATTGTGCATGCAGTGCTACCATACATTACTTTGGCAGTCCTCTAGATGCTGTTCTACTCTGTTTTGTGGATGTCTGTTACTGTCCTATCTTATTTACCTGTGTACCTCCCACTGCTCTGGGGTTAGGTTGACCTGACGTTCCCCTCATTAAAATTGCTCTTGGATTCAGATATACAGGCAGTCCCTGGGTTACGTACAAGATAGGGACTGTAGGTTTGTTCTTAAGTTTAATTTGTAGGTAAGTCGGAACTGGTACATATTGTCCCCCAGGTGTCCCCAAGTCAGCTTCTGCTGAAACTGACCAGCGGCTGACTACAGGAAGCCCGAGGCAGAGTTGCTCTGCCCCGGGCTTCCTGGAATCAGCTGCTGATCAGTTTCAGCAGCAGCTGACTTGGGGACGCCTGGGATTCTTAAGTTGATTCTGTATGTAAGTCAGAACTGGCGGTCAGTTTCAGCAGCGGCTGAATCTGGACGCCAGTTCCGACTTGCATACAGATTCAGCTTAAGAACAAACCCAGGAAGCCCGAGGCAGAGTTGCTCTGCCCCGGGCTTCCTGGAATCAGCTGCTGATCAGTTTCAGCAGCAGCTGACTTGGGGACGCCTGGGATTCTTAAGTTGATTCTGTATGTAAGTCAGAACTGGCGGTCAGTTTCAGCAGCGGCTGAATCTGGACGCCAGTTCCGACTTGCATACAGATTCAGCTTAAGAACAAACCTACAGTCCCTATCTTGTACGTAACCCGGGGACTGCCTGTACTTCTGCAAGGCATTTCACTGGGTACTGCACTAGAATGATATTAACACAGCACACACAAAATGAACGAAAAACTAGCTAACTAATAGATCTCAAAATGTAACTCTTAACCAAGAATCATCGATAAGTGGGTGCGTTTCTAGTGGCTTCAGGGATTAGTTCTTAGCCCTACTCTATTTAACACCTTTATCGATGACCTGGAAGGAAACATAAAATTGTCACTGATAAAGTTAGCAGATGACACACCAATTGGGGAGTGGCAAGTAGTGGAGATGACAGATCACTGAAGCATCAAAACTGGGTGCAGCTAACCTCCATGCACTTTTAATATAGCTAAATGTCTACATCTAGGAACAAAGAATGTAGGCTGGGATGGTAGATTAGTCTGTGACTCCGTATATCAGTGATCTGAAAAAGATTTGGGGGTTGTGGTGGGTAATCAACTCCTAAAATAACACTGTGACCAAAAGCACTGACACAGTTCTGGGATACATAAACAGGAGAATCTTAGGCAGGATTAGGCAGGTAATTTTACCGCTGTATTTGGCACTGGTGCGACTGCTGTTGGAACAGTGTGTCCAGTTCTGGTGCCCACAGTGTAAGAAGGATGTTGATACATTGGAGAGTGATCAGAAAAGATTCATTAGAATGACTTAAAGGAGTTAGAAAACAGGACTCATCAGAGGTGCTGAGTTCCTGGGGAGTGCTTGACCCATTCTCTGCTGCAGGCTCACCCCCACTCCACCCTTTCTCTTAAACTGTCGCTTCCCATTTCTGCTCCTCCCCTGCTCCGCCTCTTCCCCTCCTTGTCCTGTCTCTTGTCCCCACTCCTCATCTCCCCTCCTGCCCCAGCACTCCAGCACACCACTGAAAAGTTGATCACTCCAGGTGGGCGAGGGGGAAAAAGTTGACTCTCAGGCTGAGTGGGTACAAAGCATACACTGTTTTTTTTCCCCTGTGGTGCTCCATCCCGAGCACCCATGGAGTCAGTACCTGTATGCCTTACAGCAATAGACTCAAAGAGCAACATCTGTTTAGCTTCACAAAGGAAAGGTTAAGGGGTGACTTGATTACAGTCTATATGTATCTATGTGGGGAACAAGTCTTTAATAATGGGCTTGTCAGTTTAGCTGAGAGAGGAATAATATGATCCAATACTAAAGCTAGGCAAATGCAGACTGGAAAGAAGGTATCAGTTTTTAGCAGGGAAGGTAATTAACCACTGGGACAATTTAGCCAAGGTCACAATTGATCCTCCATCACTGACAAATTAAAAATCAAGATTGCATGTTTGGCTAAAAGATTTGCTTGAGGAAGTATTTTGAGCAGGTTCCCTGGCTTGTACCTGATGGGGGGACAGACTAAGTATCACAGTGGTCTCTTCTGGCCTTGGGATCTCTGGAAAAAGAGGGTGCCAAGACTCAGGTGCCAGTAGCCCGTTTTAATTCTGCACTGAAGATTTGTCCTAATGTTTAACATGACTGAAGGGGAACTCCTGCTCTTCCCATGCCCTTCCCTCCAAATATGTCAGACAATACTGTTCTTCCTGTTGCTCAATTTTGTAATCTTGGCTTCATCTTTCACTTGGCCCTCTTTTCAGGCTGTCACATCCAGGCCTTGTCTAAACTTTATTGCTTTTTTCCTGTACAACATTTCCAAGATCCAAACTTTCCTCTCTGCCCATGCTGCCAAAATTCTTGTCCAAGCTTTGATCATCTTGCCTCATAAACTCTGTAATCTTTCTCTCTGATCTTGATACCCCATCCTCCCACTGCCTTTTTGGCATGTGGCAGTAACACCTCCTCAAAATGTTGCTGCTAAAATCATTGTGGTGACTGCCACACACAGTCTTTAACTCCCTTCCTTGCTCTCGCTCCTTGACAAGCACCAGGCACATTTCTACTTCTTACTTGCACAAATTCCTAATGTAATCCTCTCTTGTGTACTCAACTTTCATCTTTATTGTGAGGGCCTCTCCTTCCTGCTCCCCTCTACTGAAGCACCTTGATCAATCGAGTCTCCGACAAGCGTTTTTGTTCATGCCACCCGACAGATGGGAAAAGCCTCCATGAAAATCCATAAAAGCCGCAGCCACCTCCTCCAAGTCCTTCTTCCAAATTCTCCTGTACACATCAATGAAGTGATAACTCTAACACCAATAATGGCCAGGCAGGTGATAAGCTGTGAACACTGCTCCTAATTGGTTACAAATTATGGCCTGTCTTTGGCGTTCATCTTCTGTTTGTACCCTGCTTTAACACAGTGAGTACCTGGGGTCAGTTCCTGGCTCTGCCACCCCTTGCCCTTCTTGGGCAAGCCACTTTGCCTTGCTGTGCATCAGGTTCCTATTTGTAAAATGAGGATAACATTTCCCTGTCTCCTGGAGTGTTACACTAACAGTGCTCAGATACTACTATTATGGAGGCCATAGAGTACTTTAGATAGATCTGGTGTGCCTCTGTCATATCTTATTACTAATAAGATGGCCTTTTATAAAACGTACAGCACTTTATGTACGTGTCATATAGTCTCGTATATTAAACTTCACAAATCAGACATCTCTCCTCTATGCTGTGATCAGTCATGAAATGCCTTCTTTACTGTTTGCCAAGCTACTTCTGTCTCCTTATTCAGATCCTTCCTAAAAACCCACTCTGCAAGTTAATGAAACAAAAATGTTATGAAACTGTTAAGGGGAATCCATGTCTTGCTGAGTAATCATATGGTCTTACTGTCACTTGTTCCCTTCCGCGTCTGCTCGTAATCCTCATGCGATGAATAATGTCTGGATTAGAGGGCACCCTGAGGTGGGGACTATGTCTTTCTTGTTTCTCAGAGGCAATTAGCATTGAAATTATTGTAATAATCTTGGGGCTCCGTGTTTGATATGACACTCTCACATGGTATCATAATTTGCATACTCCCCATCTTCATTAGAGTGTCTCCTTATGACTTGTAGAAAGTGCTAAAAACGAAAATTGCTGTGTCCAGTGCTTTCGGATTTGGTTAAAACTGAAGCCTTGGGCTTCCTGTCACAGGTTATACAGGAAGTATTCTGCATTTGGGCAGGAGACATTTTGAGTTTATGTATTATGGAAATTTGTGTAAAGAACCAGGAATTTCATAGCAAACTGAACTTTCTAATAAGGATAGGAGACTCTGAGCTGGGAGAAGAAAACATGAGTTGTGAGAAATAACTGCAGAGGGAATACAGAAAATAACTGGCAAAGGGAATTACTTTTTGTACACAGTAACCTCTTTACTCCAAGGCCCTCATCTCATATATCTGATTATCTACCATGCATCTACATGTGAAATCACGCTGACTCCATTGAAGTTATTCATGGGCACAGGGATGTGTGCTAATAGATAAAATTGAGGGTCAGTGCTTGAATATGCTCCATTTAGAAAGACACTAAGGAAAATTTTATATTCGGAAATGATGTGAAATTTACTATTTTTTAAAACATCCAGCTTTTTACCAAATAAATACTTCCTTTCAAGATCAATTTTATATTTTTCTCTATAGTGCAGATGCACCCCTGCTCAATTTTTGCAGTTGGTTTGGATGTAGAGTGCTGAAGTACATACATTGGAAGGAAGGAGGTTTTTTGGCATAATTTTTATTGCATAAATTCCAAGTTGAATAGTAAACAGCTTTAAAAACTGTCCTTGCTAGCTATAGTTATGAAGTTGTCTGTCGCCAAAAGCAGCTGCTGCTGCTCTTATTTTATAGCACCTGAAAGGTGTTACACTTTGGTTCTGTGATGTGATGGGAGCCTCAAGGGTTAAAGCCGACGACCCAGTGAAAACTACTGGATGATGGTGAAACAAATGATTTTTATTAAGTGGTCAAAACCAACAATTAACAAGTAGGTGTTTAAACTAGCAATTGCTTAGTACTTTTACAGCATAGAAAAGCTTGGGCACAATTATACCCAACTGATTACAATTCTTTGATTACAATTCACTTATATCAAATCACTATCCCTAATTCGCCTAAGACAACGCAGCATACAAATGAAAAATACAAAAAACAAAGCCAAAATAATGATAATAAAAGAACCACCCACGGCCAATCCCTCCAATGTCACTTTAGGACAGCTGGTAGAGTTAGTCATTGATTTTTTTACTGTTACAAGTTGACAACTCCTGGGTTTTTCTTCTAACACTTATACCTGGGCTAAAACTTAACCCTTTCACATAGCACAAAATCACACTATCTATACAATACAATTAATATGACTTACTTATACTTCACAGGATTATAGGATGTAATTAATGCAGCTTAACTATTAACTAAACCACCAATTAATAAATTTAAGCAATACTTACAAATCCAGAAACGATAACAACATAAAGACACACTAGAACTCGGAGCATGGTCAGGACTCATGCACCCCTATATTTGACTCGAAGGGTGGGGAGGCAGCCTCAGGGTGATCAATCCTTTAGCCGGGCAAAAAAAAGACACGTGCCCTCAATACACGGAACCTCCGTCGAACAAAGGGGTAGAGGGTCTTTTATACAAAAATTCGGTGTCTGATGCCATGCTAGGGTCTGCATTTGGCAGGGCCTGATAGGCTAGTGATGAGGTAGTATGACAATACTGCCCTATAGGAATTTTCGTGATGTATGCGTGATCCCCTCGTGGACAGGACCAGATGGGGCATAGTTAGTGTGAGACAGCTGTGTTTTATTACCCTATGTTTGCTTTTTCCCTTGCCCCTAAGACCGGTCAAGCTACGGTCAAATGAGGCTTATCTGTAAACGCAGCTAGGCGTTATCTAGTCATACTCACCTCCCTATTTTATGATGCCTGTGAGTTTCAGGATGCTTTTAAGGTCAAATTCCATTCACAAAACTTGCATTGTGCGCTTACAAGTTATGCTTTCTCAAGGTGTGACAGAGGCCTACGTTTTCTGTGAGCTGCTTTGTGTGGCTGGATGGGCTATACGTGAAGGCCGTGGTCAGAAAAAGCCTGCTTTCCAACAAAAGGGTGCTAAGCCAGTAACACAAAATGACACAATCCTTGTGCAAAAAAACTTCAATAAGTGGTATAGACAATGACACACCAGGTGAGGTTGATCACTGTGTAGGATGGTTACTCATTTCAGGTGTGTACACATCTTGGTGGTTCAGATTTTATTTTATTTATTTTGCAGCTGATGAGTTGCCATTAACTGTAGATCTAAACAGACCCTTTAGCCTCAGCTAACACTGTGGTTTTATTGTGACTTGCAGGTGCTCAGGTAGACCAATCAGTATTTGAAGAGCTTATAAAAGAACGACTTCCAGAACTGGCTGACCACATAAAAGATCTGTCCACCTTGGCTTCCATTTCCCTTTCGTGGTTCCTTACCCTGTTCCTCAGTATCATGCCCCTAGAAAGTGCTGTGAATGTTGTCGACTGCTTCTTCTATGATGGAATCAAAGCCATTTTCCAGTTAGGCTTGGCTATTCTTGAAGCCAATGCAGTAGAACTATGTAACAGCAAGGATGACGGGCATGCCTTGATGATTCTTAGCAGGTACATTCCTCTGTCTGAACTTCACATTATACAGTACTTTCAGATGGCTCTGCTTTAAAACTAATACAAAGGAACGTGGCTACTGCATCCGTAGTAAGTTAAGAGCATTGTATAGACACGTAGCAGTGTCCAACTTGGATTTGTCTTATCTTAACAAAAGGGTTAGGAAATGTGGCTGATGTCCTGTCAATATGCACTGTTTACTGCTGCTCTTAGCATCTTTCCTAGAATGAGGAGCTTCTTGTCCTTGCCTTCATGGAGACACAAATGTTCTTCCTTGGGTAGTGTCTGCCTTTAGTTATTGGCTAGATCACAGTAACAGTGTGAGTAACAGTAAAGGCATTCTGAGAAGTGTAGTAGCATAAAAACCTGTACATTTCCATTAAGCAGTCTTTTGGCTCAAATGTATGTATTATTCTGCTCACAGCATGCACAGTGCAGTGATCTGTGTTTTTATTGCCTCCTTCCTGTTAGGTTTTTAGATCATGTTAAAAATGAGGAAAGCCCTCTACCACCAATCAGTAATCAACATGCCTTTTTCAGTGATGAACAGGAGCCCTGCCCAGTGACTGAAATAGCTGATCTAATCCATGATTCCTATGAGGTAACAAAAATGTAATATCGACTAAATTTTCTAGTCAGATTTTAAAATGTTTGTTTCTCTGTGATAGTTAAAGAAAAGTGTGATTTTTTTTCCATAGCTTCATGCAGTAATTACTCGTTTAATAAGTGCCCACTTAACACATTTTCGCAGTAGCACCATTTTTTTTTTTTAAGGGAATGTTTTTCAAACCATTTTTTTTTTAAGGGAATGTTTTTCAAATAACACAACTGTCCCTGAAATAACATGAAAATAACTAAGTGGCGGATTACTTCGCATGGCGGTATAAGTTGGTGAAAACAGTGGTAATATTCAAGAGCACTTGGTCACAGTGCAATACACTTGGTCACAGCGCTCCTCTGCTCACTCACTTGTTTATCTTTGTGTTTTAACAAACTGCGGCGACTTGTGTTGCTAGATATCTAATGTTGACGACTCAGCACCAACAAAAAATTGACTTTGCCACCACCACCTGAAACGCAACCCCCACCTTTTCCATTATTTTTAATGGGAAAATTGACCTCGCATAGCACATTTTCGCTTAGTACGAACATTTTCAGAAACGCATGTATACAGGCAGTCCCCGGGTTACGTACAAGATAGGGACTATAGGTTTGTTCTTAAGTTGAATTTGTATGTAAGTCGGAACTGGCTCCAGATTCAGCCGCTGCTGAAACTGATCAGCGGCTGACTACAGGAAGCCCTAGGCAGAGTTGCTCTGCCCCTGGCT